TAATTTATTTACAAGATATTTCCGGATTTCTTTATTTTTTTTTCACCACTTAAATTTCTTCTTTCAGTCGGTTTTGTACGTTTACTACAGACAACACATGGATAACACTTAAGAGGAGGTCATGCTGAAAGTAGAAGTTAAACTTGATTTCAATGCATGAGGGAGAAAAATAGATTCATCAGTTAATTTTTATTTTGGAATAATTTATGCATATACATATAGGATTATCGGGAAAATTACATTCTTTTGATTTTCTTTTTTTTTAATATGCCTCGTCTTTTATCTTTTATATATAGACTTAAAAGTTGATGTTCCCAAACAGCTGACTGGGAAGTATGTCACTGATTAGTCTACTTCCCACCTGTCATAAAAGATCTTAAGTTAAAACACTTGTCAAATATGGGGCACCCGGACGGTTGTGCGGGATGTATAAATACGCAACTACGTCTGGTCAAAATGGGAACGCCTAGTCTAAAACTAAAAGCCGGCGTCATGTTAGACAACCAGTTTAAATAACATATATTTCTGAGACAACAGCCTGTGTCTGAGAGGTCCCTCAATCATGCTATGTTGTGCATGTATGTTGATATGTAAAATCCTTTCACTCATTCCATATCATACCTCCATTGGCCGTGAAAAAGTCAGAACTTATTTTGAATTTAAACAGTGTACCTTAAACAGCCTATAATATATCTATTGTATAATTATTTGTTTGTTTTTGCATTGAAGCAAGCAACAATCAATCATTTGTTTTTCAAAATAAATCATCAGTTCATCTTTAAACATTTTAAAAATAAGCAATTAGTTATGTATTGACGACATTCATTTACATTGAAACGAACCTAGGATTCAATATACTGATTTTGCCATCATATCATGCTTTAATCGTTACGCTTTCTCGAGAATCTCATTTCTGTAATTTTCTATATATACTCATAGATTAGTCTTCTTTCATTTCCGAAGGTTTACGATATTTGCATAATTTTTTTCGTGAAAGCAATGTCTAATTAATATGTATATTTTTTCAATATCTTATATTATCAAAATGTTTAAACATACATCAAGATGTTTTGTATATAGATTGATATTCTTGAAAAAAAATTAAATATTTTATTTTTTATAACAGTTCCTTTTGTACAGATTGATAGAGGAGGTAATAGTCAATTGTTTACTGTCTACATAAAAAATAGAAACGATGGTTTTCCAAACCAAAATATGATATAATACTTGTTTTGTTTCTTTGCACACATAAGTGAAATGTAAAACAGATTATAATTTAACAGAGTGGATCTTTATGTATAATAATCAGACTGTTTTACATTTTTAAAGTCACACTTGAGACAGGAGTTGATGTGTCCAGTCAAGTCCTCTGTCTCTCATCTGTTCTAAGCTTTGAACACATATTAACAGTGGTTTTCTTTTACTTTGAATATAACAATTCATCAAAAATATAAATAATCAACAGTTGTATCCATAGCAAAGGATGTATAACAGTAAAACGGTTTGTATAACTTTTGAGGCACCAGTTCTATAAATGTTCTGATCATGTTTACGGGAGATAAAAATAGAAAGGGATATTCCGCGATATACTTTTAGTTCAATGTCAAAAAACAAGTTTCACTTTGTATGACTGTACTAACCTGTTTTTTGTTATTTGTGCTTCATTTTTACAACAATATGCACATTTTTAATGGAAGAAATATTTTTTCAACACAATCTGGCTGCTATCGTCTGCTATTTTGGAACATTTCAAAACTATTGACTCAGAGTATCCCGATCACGCATTCGATCGCGTTTAGTACCGACATGGTGACACAATGACGCGATCATGGGTCAAGAAACGCAATTTTATTCTTACTACAAATATTATCAAAATAATTTCCGGACCATTTTTATAACATTCATTATTTTTTGTTAAGAAATAGGTTCGTGAATTGACGACAACGTTTTACAAGTACAATTGTCCTTTGAAATCAGCTCACATTTCGTTTATTTTCATACCGTGCGCATGCAAGAAACAAAAAGATATTTGAGTATGCTATGTGTTTTTTCATGATAAAGATTGTGTATGAATATAAAGTTGTTTCTTGTGTGCGCACATAGTTTATTTTATATAAATGTGCCAATTTTTCCAAAATTTTGCGGGAAAACGTCCGAAATAGGCACAAAAACGTTGTTATTGTGACGTCATCGACGCAATATGACAGAAAAAAATATCAAAAATCTAAAGCTATTTTCTTAAAGTATTCAAACAATACAAGTTTTTAACTTTTCATGTGTTTTAAAATTTCCGAAAAATTTAGGCCAAAAAGGAGTCTTTATGCTCCTACTCCTTTATAATTATGATCAAATCAATGATAATTCATGTCAACAGAGAAGTGTTGATTACTGGGATGGTGATACATAAAACGCACATTCTTATATTATCCTTGGATGAACATTTAAATAATGAAGGGAAAAAAAACACATACAAAAAAACCACTTTGTTTCATCCCAAGGAGTGATTTAGGGGGGCAGGGGCCTGCAAATTTAGCAATTAAACATAATTTTGTTTAGAATTTTGTATAGAAGTATTTATGTCGGAGATGCTGAGCAACAATGTATGAACAAAGCAAGTAGACATAGTAGATAAAAATGTCAACAATAGGGAACCGGTAGTCAACGTTGTGTTATAATCCTAATCAATATAAAAACAAACAAATATTTCAACAACAACAAAAACAAAAACGGCATATAGACAAAGTACATTAACAATAAATAAAGACAAGTTTAATATGTTTAACCCCGCCATATTCTGTATCTATGTGTCTGTCCCAAGTCAGGAGCATGTAATTCAGTGGTTGTCGTTTGTTTTTGTGTTTCATATTTGTTTTTCGTTCATTTTTTGTACATAAATTAGGCCATTAGTTTTCTCGTTTGAATTGTTTTACATTGTCATTTCGGGGCCTTCTATAGCTTACTATGCGGTATGGGCTTCGCTCATTGTTGAAGGCCGTACGGTGACCTATAGTTGTTAGTTTCTGTGTCATTTGGTCTCTTGTGGAGAGTTGTCTCATTGGCAATCATACCACATCTTCTTTTTTATAAGAATATGAAAATTAACATAGCATAATAAAACAATTGCGTGATGTATAAGTACTTAGTCAAGTCAAAGGATATTACCAAAATTGAACTTAACATTAGCAAAGACAAATAAAAGTATTAAGAATATTGCTTTCTAGATTATATTGTTCATAAGAAAATTGCCATGCTGATTCATTTACATTATTGGGAGCAGTGTGAGAAAAAGTATGTGGACTTTGTAGTTTTCCACATTTACATGCTAAATTTTGGTGTCATAGAATTTGAATTGAAAGTTTTCGTTCTTCATGTGGTCAAGTAAACTAATCACGTGTAAATTAAAAAGTCAACATAATGAAGACCTGAGTGTCTAAACTATTTTGTTTGTTTTATATATTTTTATAAAATAAGTATAATTATCTAAACCCGTTATCTTTGATAACCATCACTCTTGTGTCTTTATAATCTTTAAAAACAATTTCTAGACGTTAGTAATGTGTTAGGCAAAGAAAACAGATACCATTCATACCGCTATGAAGATTATAATTCAAATTATGAGCAACCAAATACGTTGGAAACAAAATTAGAACTAGTGATTAAGATTATAACACAATGTTGACTGCTGAACCCCTATTTATGACATTTTTTCCTATCATGTCTGTTTGTTTTGTTCACACATCGTTGACAATATAGTGGATTTTGATACAACTGTCATACAAGTGTTACGTTTAGCTTGCTGTGAAACCAGGTTTAATCCACCATTTTCTATATGGAAAAATGCCTGTACCAAGACCGGAATATGACGTTGTTATCCATTGGTTTGATGCGTTGAAGCTTTTGTATTTGCCATTTCATTAGGGACTTTCCGTTTTGAATTTTCATCGGAGTTCAGTATTTTTTTATTGTACTTTTCGATACCTCTGCTGGTGGACTATCAGTCCCCGAGGGTATCATCAGCTCAGTAGTCAGTACTTCGGTACTGACATGATTTATTACAAACCTTTCTAAAATTGTCCGTTGTTAAATTTTGAAATTATAAAGAAACTAAGGTTTCAACTCCCTCAGGCAAAGTTGACCTTAGATAAATTTGGCGATTTGTTTTAGGTATTTTTGTCATATAGCTCTTCAACTGTTTCGGTACTTATACATCCCTCGGATTTCAAATGTTTGGCTTTGAGCGTTCCTGATGAAGGTAAATCCAGAAAAGCGCTTCGGACGCATGAAATTATTCAGCAAGTTGTTTTCAATTTTTCACAGTATTTAGTGTGGGGTTTGATTTTTACGTTTTTTTTATTTCTATGCTGTATGTTGCACGACATTACTTATTGTCAATTTTTGTTTGAGTGTTATCTTTTCATTTTATACTAATCCTACAGTTCCTTCTTCGTTCATTTTTTAATTTCAAATTCGGTGTGTAATAGTGCACGAAATTATGCGTAGATTAGAATGTATAATTGTTTGTCGAAAAATACTTTAATAAAAACAAAGTACATTACAATATGTAAACAACAGAATAACATGAATTAACGACCGCACATCAGGATACACATTTTTTATATTTTTCGCATGAATAGATAAACGTCACATAATTAAACGACATGTTAAGACTACAAGGGAGTTTTAACCACAACGTGTTTTTGAAATATGTTTGTTTACATTTTAAAAAAGAAGTAAAAGGTAAATATTCAGATATAAAGCTTTCATACCCTATACCATATGACTGACCACAACTATTAAATGTTTGGAGCTGTATAGGTGATTTTATTTCAAATTCTATGAATTCAATATTCAAACAATATTTCATCATTTTCCAAGAAGTTGGTATTTTTAAAATACATAACCACAGCTTTGATAAATTTTATTTGGCAATTCAATACCATAGATACTATAAAATAAATTCTTTTTCACTTGAATTGTTATACATTTTTTTAAAAGTGACGAAATAATCATGGAGTGTAAAATAACACTTTCGCTGATATGTATTTTTTTTCTAATAATTCCGAATGTTTATCCTCAGGGAACCACATTGAAGCAAATTAAACAAGGTCAGTAAACACAATGTCACACGTACATACATTGTAATAAAAAAAGATATGTTAACCCAATGAAAAAAATGTAAACAGATGTATATTGTAATTATTAAATGAAGAAATTCACGTTATCTTATTTATACTATTAACTTAAAAGTGTTAGATCTGTGTTGATATGTTTGAGTTATTCATATTTTTATATATGTTTAAACATATTTCATAGTTCAGACACTAAACAAAAGGATGAAACACAAATGTTACAACTTCATGTTTACCATCAGCTTGAAGTGTTGAAAATGAAAAACCATATACTCCAATCATCAGACCAACTTTTATCTGTGCCATGCATATATTGTACATTGTTTTCGACTTCAAATTAAGTTAGACCAATGTTAACATGTAAATCTTTTTCTTGACATAGAAAATATTTATTTTATTTATTGTACCGATTTAACAATATCGATAATTATATTCCTTATTTTGTACACATACAACATATCTCTATGTTATTTTTAGCCACGGGTATTTTGGAAGCAATTTCAGGCAAAGACCTCGCCAAATATCTTACAATAAAGGATGTGGATTTGAAAGGAGGATCGTACATCAAAAAGTAAGACCACACTAACGTTTATTTTCTGAATACAGTTAGTAAAAATGAGGGATACAATTTTGTCATCTTCTGCAAAGTTTTGTTTTTTAGAATAATGTTATGAACGGAATTCCTTTGGTAATACATCTTATTATTTTAGCCTGGATTTATTCGTCTTTCTCTTTCTATTGTTTTTGGTTTAAATGTTGGCGAGGAAGATGAATCGAAATATGCACTTCGGACACTCACACTTTTAATGTGTTATTTTCATTTTAATATATAACTATACGTCTCTGATTTAACTTTTCAAAAATCTGCTTTAACATACTAGTAATATTGAATCATGTAAATCAGTTATAAGATGTGTGTGTGTGTTCTCGAACACTTTTTTTTTTTTAAATTGTTAACATTGAAATATCTATTATTCATTTGTTATCCATTAAACCATCATTTTATTGTCTAATCCATCAGTATAAAGATAACTCATGTTGACATACCGAAAATATCGATCAAGGGTGATTGGAAGAAAAATATTATTGTCGAAGCATCAAATATTGGACTAGGAGTAACAGCTGACTGGCGGGTAAAAAAGTAAGTGCACGAAATAGGAACATAACTATCTATCATAAGATTGTACTTCTGTACATTGCGATTTTATTTTAGGTTTTTTCCAGCTTAAGCTTAAATTTATAAAATAATATATTTCTAGTCATCTTTGAACGTTAATATTCAATAATATTTTATTGAGTTTCTGGCAAGTTTTAAGCAGAAGAATTGAATTCTGTTTTAAATTTCCATTTGATGGCATTACTTTTTAAAATTTCTGTATTTGTTTGTTTTTGAGTATTTACTTTTTACTAATTTCTCGAAATTGAAATTAAGTCCAACTCAGTTTATGTCCAGACTTTTTAGTATGCGTTATTAACTTGTAATCGTCAACACCAGACTGAATTGTCTGAAAAACTACTGATAATACATGTGGAACAGGATCTGCTTACCTTGAGATCACTTCTGGTTTCTGGTAATGTTCGTGTTACTAAGCCTTTTGTTTTTTGTTTGTGTTTTATTTGTGTGCTGTTGTTTGTCTGTTTGTCTTTTTTTTCCGTAGCGTTGCTAGTGCATTTTTGAATTATGGGTTTGAATGTTTCTCTGGTATCTTAAGTCTCTTTTCTACTGAACAGTACTGAATTGACTGAACACGACTTGTCTGAACAGTAATATAATGAATAAACATCATCGAAAAAAAAAATGAAGAAGACTGTTCGGATGATGTTAAGATCAAAATGACTTTTTCAGATTACCATTGTTGTGGTACATGTCTACCGTGGCCGACTGTACATTTCCAATATTGGAGAGCTGCCACTATCTGGTGTTTCGCTTGCCGATAGATGACGTTATTTTGTTGTACTTATCGTGTCACAAAATGTGAATATATGATAAAAACAAAGATGTATCCAAGAACATAGAATGTAATTTAAATTTCCAATTGGAAACCTATAATAATGAAGTATTTTTTTCAGGCGTGTTTTATTTATAAGATATCGGGAGAGTGGTACTTTAAGAGCATCTGTTTCCAACGTGTCATTCAAAGTGACCTTGAGTAAGTAAAACAATATTAAATCAACAAAATTAAAATAAAATGATAAAATAATAATTTACCATCGACAAAAAAAATGACACATACAACCTAAAACAATTTTGTATTAAGCATTTTCGTTCATTCTGTTAAGTTATTACTTTTACATATATATACATTAATTGACGTTAGCTATTTGTAAGCAATGCAACTTCTGTTATCTAGTAGCAAAATTGATAATAAAAAATGAACAAAAATCAAACAAAAGTGTCAGTCACATTTCCAACTACACAACATGTGCTCCTCGAATAACGTTCATATGTTACGCTTATTCGGCTTGGAATAAAACGATGAAAGTATGATTTGTTTGCTGGTATGTCTTAACCATACAGGACCATAATAATTTTCATTTTCATTTCATTGAATTGTGGTTCAACATGATAAACATGGACATTTTCAAATAAGCTAAAATATTTTATTTCATTTCAATTCAATTAGAACTGACTCTTTGTAGACACGCGCACATTTAGTGTTGCGAATTGTTCTGAATCAATTGGTTCGTTTAAAGTCAAACTAAAAGGCAAACTGTTGGCATGGGTTATAAGAACATTCGTGAATGTTGACAAACTGTTAAAGCGGAAGCTTAAAGGACAGGTGAGTAGTTTAAGATATATAAATAGAAACATAAATAATATCATCGAAATTTTGTTTAAATCTCATGACTTCAGTCAACAGTTGTGAATCTTCTTTCGGCAAAACCTTTTAGAATCTTGTCCTTGATTTTACTCTATAGAGGACAAAACTTTCGCCTGGCGTACAATATTATTACCTTGGTATCTTTGATTATTTTTTTACCGCTGGTCAAATCTCACAAACAAATTGCGTAGAAAAAAAAGCAAAATCACAAATAAAAACCGGAAAGTATCATGACTGCCAAAATGAGAGAATACGGGAGCGTTGACAAGGTTGTGGTCTCCTATTATGTATGCATTACCCGCTGTGCAAAACCGAACTTACATAGTTTTCACATTCGGGAATAGGTCATAATCGACAAAATAAAAGATAAGACCTCTTTAAATCCGGTATTTAAAGATAAAGTAACACGAAAATACATCGATAGTTAGGTTATACAGATATATATTGCATTATAACATCAAGTACAAATTTTTGACATCTTTTTCTCGACTCATCACAAATTTTGCTTTCAACTTGAAAGAATACAAAGTTATTACAAATGCCAAAGTCTATTTTGTAAGAGTGTCCCTTATGCAATTGTTGTTAGCAAGATTTATGTAAGTTTAACTAGTATGAATAATATACCCATAGAAAGATAGTCATGAGACCACATAACCATAAAAATAACTATATTTAGATATGCAAGGCCATAAGTAAAGAGATCAATAAGCATTCATCAAAAATTTCAAGAATACTTCAAGGATAATGAAGAAGTATTATAAAACGGTAAGTTTGATCGTTTATTTAATCAAAAGAATAGTTATTATTGGTCATAGTTTTTCACAAATATTTTTTTCTTCAAATTTAATACCCAGGAAAGCCATTAGTATATATACTTGTACCGCAACATTCACATACTAGTGTTGTAAAAACATTTTTTTTAAACGATTCTACGATTCTAAATATCAAAAATGTTTCAAAAAATTTAGATACGTATGGCTATCAAACTCTAATGCCTCACCAAACACCTCATGGTGGTAAATGCAACGGATAAACCACTGAGATTAAGATATTAATGATAACGCAATGTAACAATTTAACAATATAAACTGCATAATATAAAAAAGAAGATGTTGTATGGTTGCCAATCAGACAACTCATCACAAGAGATCAAATGAAATATAGGTAATCGTACAGCCTTCCAGGACGAGCAAAAGACTTACCGCATAATCAGCTTTAAAAGGCCCCGAAATGACAATAGTTCAAACGAGAAAAACTAACGGCCTAATTATTGTACAAAAAGATAAACGAAAAAAATATGTAACACAGCAACAAACGCAAACCACTAAATTAAAGGCTCTTGACCTGGAATATTGCGGGGTTAAACATGTTAGCGGGATACCAACCCTCCTCTAACCTAGGACAGTGGTGTAACAGTACAACATAAGAGCGAACTATAAAAATAAGTCGAAAAAGGCTTAACTCATCAGATTGATAAAAATAGAAATACATCGTACCATATCACAGAGTAGACGTGGCCGGGTACTTGTACATCACAACAACATAAAGACACAAAGTACAGATCTGAGAATACTCGCAATTACTGACAGCTAGTTCTAAGTCAATAACAACTAAAATAAAAAGTCATGCATCTAAGACTAAATTAGATTACCTTAATTGTATTTGGCAAAACTTTTAGGAATTTTTGGTCCTTAATGCTCTTCAATATCGTTTTTTATTTGGCCCTTTTAACATTTTTTGATTCGAGCGTCACTGATGAGTCTTTTGTAGACGAAACGCGCGTCTGGCATAAATATAAAATTTCAATCCTGGTATCTATGATGAGTTTATTATCAATCACTACACATCCAATATCCAATGAATTTAGTGTAAAGACTTCATAAACAGTCAGAGAAAAAACATGACCTTTGTGCAATTCCAAGATACAGGTAGCGACATATTGTTGATCCATTTAAATGCATATGTATATAACAATAATATTTAGTTTTCTTTTGATTTACTTATACCAAAAGGAATATAAATACCAATAAAAACATTATTCAAAGATCTAATTACAGTGTTGAATTCGTAACCTTTTAGAATAAGTTTATTTAAAGGATACCATAGGAATACATTTAACCTGTCGATAAACTTTGTTTTCAAAACGTACATAAATATTATCAGGGAGAAAATTAACAACTTTAATCATCTCATCACACCTCCAGCAAGTATATCTAGCATATTTACCTTTCTCATTAGAGAAGAAGGCTTCAAATGAGTTTCAGTAAATAGATTTGCATTCAGATTTACCAAACGACCATTTATTTATTTTTTTAGGTTGTACGAAAAGGATTACTACATAGAAGTACAATTAAAAGAACGAAGAAGACGATATTTAATAAATATTATCACGTTCAATGTTTTACTCTGTCTTATGTATGATTTAAAACAAAATCATATGGTGGTGCACTTCTTTTTATTGAATGATGATTTTCCCATTTTTCATCAATTTTTACCCATTTTGGGGCTATTATTACAGTTTCACAATTAAACTTTTTTCATACATATACTAGTCCACAAAAGAAACGATAAACAAGTTAAAACTCCAATTTCTGATAAAATATAATAAACGGGAAAAACTGTAAAATCATCCAATGAAAAACATTCATTTGCAGAGCAAATGCATATGACTAAAAGAATCTGACCAATTTGGAAATTTACAAAATACCGTGTTGTTTAGCACAGCGGTCAAATTTATTTTGAGGAAAATGATGACAAAAGTCGGCACATGATTTCGGAGATAGGAATTAATTATTCAAATATCGTCAAAGGCATTCACAATTTTAAGCAGACAATGTTTAAGTTTAAAGTTTTGAGTTTTGATATCGATTTTTAAATTTTGAGGTGAACATACGAGTTTTGAAATAACAAAAATTCCGAGAGAAAAAAAATCGAGTTTTTGCCTTAAGTCAATGATTTTGATAAGAAAATAACACTCTGTAAATATTAGACCGATTGGGCAATTGTTTCCTTTTGTACAGCGTTTACAATTTCATTATATATGGAAAATGCATTGCCTTGTATCGTTTCTTTTCTTGACTGGTATATATACTCCGTATGTAGGCGCTGTGGGAATGTTGCTACATACAAATGGAAAGTCCACAATTAGGAAGCTGACATAATCTCATTTGTCGTAAAGTTTTGTTTTCAACCGACCCTCGTTGTCAATTTCTAGATTTAAGTCAAGATATGATACCACAGTATCTATTTACAAAGTTTAAAATAAAAATGCTCTGCCGTCTAACCTGCCAGTTCAGAAAAAGGAATATATTGTGGCAATGTTTTCATGGCTATTGAAGAGAACAGAGGTACCAGATATTCATTAGCTATATTGTGTCGACCACAATGAATAGTGAGAAATGGAGATTACCGCTGGAAAAGAGGGGACGTAATGTTAGGCATAGACAGAACTTTTGACTTGTATGCCGATCAACAAAAGGGTTGTTGCAAAGATTCCTTATCGCACTGACAGCGTAGCACTTTCTGGTTTGAAAACGTTTTGATTCCTACAGAAGGTGCTGTGCGTCTGTGCATCCGGCACAGTCAAATGGTTCTCTATTATAAAATTTGGTTTCATTACTAACTGGTGAAATCCAGGTGAATCTATGTTCAAACCTCTATACCAAAGTGAACCCGGAGGTGAAATAATTCTACACTATATCAACAAATGATACAGATTAAGTGATTTCTCTAAACTTATAGACAATACAAAGTTGGTGCCAATAAAATGATATTATTAATGCAAGTATATTGTGTATAATTACACAATTATGATAATCGACTGCTGTGTTCATTAATGTGCTGCGTCCTCTCGGTGCCCCTTTCAAAGACTTGGAAATATATATTAAGCACGACATTCTTAAAACGTCTTTTTCAACATTCAAATTATCAGACTTTGAAGTACAGGAATGTATAGAAACTATGCCAAAACCACGAAATCAAATATCCACAAATATGCATAAAATTGAGAATGGAAATGTTATCAAGTAAAAATTCAAGGGCAGATATAGTATCAAAGCATGTCCAATTGACATATCTCTTTTGTTTGTTGCTACTAAAAAATGACCTAAAAGAGTTTGAACATATGTATTCGCATTCCAACTTTTTAAATGCCCATTTAATTAGGTGTGTGAATTTTTTCTTTATAAGAATATGAGGTAAAGTGGTATATAGGGTAGAAAAATCAAAACTTTGAACAGATTCAAAATCACCAATGTATGCATGCAATTTATCAAGTACTTCCAACGAGTTTTTGACACTCCAAAAGTAGTTAATTCCACTATTTTCAAAGGCCTTATTTGAACAATTTATTATCAGGTTTTTGATTGTACCAAGTGTACTAGTAAGTAGAATAGACAATTTAGTAGTGGAACAATGACTTGAAGACGAAATAAATCTATATTTGTAAGGTGATTTGTGTAGCTTCGGAAGCCAGTTCATGGTTGGGACTTTCATTGTATTTGGTTCTGCTTGTAAAGAAGTAGCTAATAGTTTATGTTTGTTACAGATATCGTTTTCTGAAAATGAAGTCAGTTGGAATGTTGGTGAATTCGTGATTTTCTTTTGCAGAACCTCAATGTAAAATTTACGTCAAACTATAATGATATTATTAGCAGCTTTATCAGCCGGGACAAAAACAAATTCCTTGGCTAGTTCTTTTAGTTTATGTTTGATACGAGAGATAGGATTTTTATGGTTGTTGTTAAGAGTAAAATGTTCTTTAAAATGTTGTATACGTATATCATCTATCTTCATTACTGAATTAAAAAAAGAGTCCAAAGATTTTTTGTCAGCTTTTTCCCGTTTTATCCATTTCAAACAGTAAGCACAAAGTGAGTCCTGGATGATATTACGACACTCATTCCAATTAATAATTGACGGGGGACGATATTTAGGTCCTTTACTGAGGAATGATTTTAACTCTCGGTCGCGAACGATGTTAAGGTCTCCTGTTATAACATGGGAAATGGGGCCATAAGTGTATTCGGAATTACTACAATTACATGACGGAAGTGTATTTTCACTAATATTTACATCTTTACAGATTTGGCTATAATTAAACACAAATTTTCGGGTAGATTTCTTGTAAATATAACAAATAAGAGGGAGTTCAGTATTATCAAAATATCCAGGAATTTGTTCTTTAACATAATGGTCGTTAAAAATACCGGAAATATTTACAAAATCAAAACCTTTATTGACATATTTTATTTTAATAAAATGTTTTTTATGATCTTCAGGGCGGTCAGTTTTGGGAAACAGTTTAGAATAACAATATGCCATTATAATTTGAACGATTTCATACTTAGGACTGCAATATGAAATTGTGTTGCAATCCTCTAAAATTTTATTTAATTTATTTATAGGTAAAGAACAGAGCTTGGTTAATAGATAATGTCTGCCGTTGTTTTTTTGAAATAGAAATTAGGTCCGAAATATTTGAATGGTTGGTCCGAAGTTTTCTATGATTGCGATTTTTTCTACGCCCATGAGAACGGTTTTTACGAACAGTTTTAGAAACTATATGTATTCCCTAATCCACGAAAATTGGTACCCACAAAAATAAATGAATCCACAGTATTCAACACATTTTCTTAGCAGTGTCACTGGGAAAATTGAAAATAAATGCTATGCCGTCTTAATTGTCAGACGATACACAAAAAATTCCAGACGTATTAATCTAAAGTTTAACGTAAGTACGCATTGTAAAATACTTTGTTTC